TCAGCAACGTTGGTGATATTTCGATTTTGTGACAATAAACTGTAGTGATAGCTGCTATCTTCAACTCATCATGTATATACACCAATTGAATAAGGCAGCAAGGTTTAAAGGTAAAGATCAGTTATGGTCATGCGATTGCATTGTGAAAGAAACGTTGTGGAATCGATCAGAAAAGGTTGATCATCTAGCATCTAGCATCTAGCATCTGCAAAGAAATTTGGCCCATTCTTCGTAAAGTTACAAGCACTATACACAAAAAGATGTATATGAGACTACCCTATATCTCTCACAGACCATGAGAGAAACAAATTTACCAAATATATGAATTAGAAGGCGATTTCCCGGCAAATTTTTTATCATCATGTATTAGTCAAAACATATTCTTTCACATGATTGGTAATGAGAGTTTCCATTTCATTTTTTTTGAAATTGGGGCGTTTCCAATACTGGTCTTTACCTTTAACTTATCAACCATTTGCGTATACGACATAAGGCCATTTTCGTAATGTAATACATTTTAGAGCACACATGTTTGCGAACTGCCTCGATACAATTGATTTCATTATTCTGTTACAAATAATTGTATTCCAATATAATGCAAACTGCATACTTTAATTGTTGCCAGGTGGGACAAACATTTTGGCATGCCATACACAACAACACGTAATATATGGATTTTGTATTATGATTATTGAAATACAATTATTCTTTACTGGTGAATCTAATATTAATTTCACAGCCCTTTTAAAAGGACGTATGCATTGCATTTTAAAATAGTTCATTCTCCAATCGTCTGGTCTTCAATGTAAGGTTATAACAATGTGTTTTAGGTTAGGTATACAGTTGAAGTCGCTATTGAGTTTTAAGTTAGGTTCAGAAATATGGTTGCTAATGGATTTTAACTAGGTTCATGGCCACGATTACATTTGGGATTAAGATTGGAATGAAGGTTATGGTCACCATTGGGTTTTAAATAAGGTTTAATTTTAGGGTCGCTATTGGGTTTGTAGTTAGTTTTATGGTCGCGGTCGTATTTAAGTTAGTATTAGGTTAGGTTAGGAATATGGTCGCTATTCGGTTTTAGGTTAGGTTTATGGTTATGGTTTAAGAATAAGTTAAAGTTATTTTTCGCAAGGGGGTTATAGTGATAGTTTGGTACACCATTTAATTTATCATATAGATATGTCTTATACGCGAAGATGGGTGCGAAAGAGGTTCACAAAGACTAGGAAGCGTGATCACTCAATATGCTGTGCTCTGCTCAAGCTGACCAACATAGCTAATTTGTATGGTTAAATAACTGAACATTTCAAAACCACCCTCGTTTCTCTCAATTGTTCATATCAAGGGTAACTATGTCCAATTTCACATGTCTTTGGTCACCGGGGACATGACAGTTATATGAGGAACTATTGTAGTTAGGCTTCTGCACGTCATTGCTAGATTCCCATTTTGTTATCTGCTACCACGTTTACCTTATCACAGAGGTATTGTGCACGTTTTTGTTTATTTGACAGTTTCTGATGGTTTCTCATAAACATGGGGTGTTCAGCAAGTACTAGAACGATTTCATCAGTCAAGAAAACTGGAATACCTTCCTCACTCAACGAGGTACAAGCTGGTGGACCACTAGCTGAAGGGCAGAGCAAACCTTTGATCAATGACGGTGCTGATGTAAGTCTAGATGAAACCGATGGCGGTCCTGCACGACCAAAGGCGATTGCTTCACCGAACCCCGAGGGAAAGGCGGATGCTCAGAATATGGCGATTCTGCAACAAGGCACTATCGACGATGCTTCATCGAGGACATTGACTGACATTTCAGATGTACTTCTCGTTGACTCCGCAGCTGCTAAAGCAAAACGAATCGAAGAGTTCAGTAACGAGGTCAAAGCATGTTTAACTCTTCTCAAAGCCAATATCAAGCACATTCAGGAGTGTGAAGGTTTCCCGTGCACCTCGTGTCTTACCAGGATAGAGGATATCCAGAAAGTTTCACGTAACCGCAACATTGATCGGAACGCTGTAGGGGATGGCTTAGGCATTGACACAGACTACTGCAAAATGTTTGCTTATACGTGGAAAAAGGGAGACATGTTACAAAAGATTGAAGACGCTGATCAGCAAGAACTATTACATGAGACCACACCTATGTTCACATTTTATGACACTCTGCTTGGTTCCGCCTTTAACTTCACGGACAAATCTGAATACTGCTGTTTACAAATGGAAGAAGATGGGTGCCTGTCATTGATTGTCGATTGGTTTTTACACCTCGTGGAAAGCGACAAGGCGATGAACAAATGGGTAGCTGATATAATGTTTGACGCGATGAATATCATGCACAACGCCTGCAGCAAAGTGCGGTCACTGGCTCCTAATCATCACCGGGCCGTGCCTGCCTTGCAAAAGTTTGGCGAGTCGAAACAGAGCTTGACACAGACAATAGCATTTATGACGTTGGCAAAGCTGGTGAAGAAAGAAGAGGCCGACAAGCTTTCCATCAACTACACCTGTATCGTAACCCTACTATCGATGTTGAAGACATGTTTCTCCAATCGTGAACATCTATCAAAGACAAGACGACAAACATCCAAGAACAACCTTATGCAAGTGATTACTCTAAGTGCAGTGGAGTTAGTTCAATCAGTAGATGACTTGGCAATCAATGACAACAACAAACGGCTCATAGTAGAAAAGGGAGGCATTCCTATCCTCGCTAAATTGCTCCAACAAGAGTGTTCCATGGAGGAGAAGACCTCTGCCGCAAACGGAATCTGGAGACTCGCATTTCTCAAGGAAAATAAAGAGAAGCTGCGAAAAGAACAGGGTATTATCTACAGTAAGTAAGGATTCTTTACATTTTGTCATTATCATGTTAATATTGAACAAAAATGTTCACAACTTGTTATGTAAACCGTTTGGTAATGTTACCATTAGTGCATATGGTGTTTTCATAACGATAACAGACTCGGGATAACTTTGATGGATTAATGTTTCGCTTATTAAGTTTAAATCATTGGTGTAAGAAATGGAGGGGGGGGGGGGCACCCCCAACAAAAGTATTTGGGTAGCCACCATGATATGTATTGCAAGAATTAGGGAGGGGTGGGGTGGGGAGTTATTACAAGTAAACAACAAAATCACTTGATGAAAAGGAGTTTTAAGATTGAATATTCCCACCATGTTCATTGATAACATAAAACGTTGGGCCTACAAGAAGTGAACACTTTCTTGCATCCATTGTTAGAGAAGAAGCATTTTGTGTTCAGAGAGGGATTAGTTAAGTATGTGTTACTGTTCATTATTTAATGCCCTTTTTGGCTATAAACAGATGATATCATACATTATTTTTTTAACAAACAAGATCTGACGGAGAATTCACAGAGTAAAAATGAAGAACTTCGCAATGCTTGTATGGGCGCTCTCTTCGAGATCTACGAATCCAAACTTCCCGAAGGCCTGACGCACAGGAAAACAGATGTCGAGTCACAGCAGAGGGCGCCGTCGGACAGTGCGAAGTCCAGTGGACACATCATGCTAAGCTACAAATGGGAACACCCGTCCAAACCTGTGATGCGAGAGTTCAAGAAACAGCTGCGGAAAAGAGGCTACGACGTGTGGATGGATGAAGACCACATGAGTAAGTTTATCTGCAGACACTACTCTTAGGAAGAATGACAATTTTCAAAATGATTTTAAAAAAGAAAATCTAAATGCATGTCTGGTTTCTGTCTTTCATTCAACGTTGCAACAAATAATCTAAGCCGGCGAATTCCGAACGTTTTTTGACCAAGTGTTTACAGGAAATGAACTTTTGAATAATATTTTTATTATTTAAGCGTTGTTAATTTAATGTGTCATCAATGCATGATGGTAATTGCATGTAATTCAGAAATTATTATCCCAAAAGCTAGAGCATGATTATTCATGAATGATCTTCTTCTTCATTATTCTTCTTTCTCGTGTTTCCTACTTCTTCTTCCTGCCCTTCCCCTTTTCTTCTCTTCTTCTTCGATCTTTTCCCTCTACTTTCGCCTTTTCTTTTCTTCTTCTTTCCATTCTCTGTTCTTCCCTTTCTTTGCCTATGTGTTCCTTCTTCTTTCTTTTCTCAGTGGGTGATAAAATCGGTGCCATGGCAGAAGCCGTAGAGAATGCTGATATGATCATAGCTTGTATCACACGTGGTTACCAAGACAGTCAAGACTGTCGTACAGGTGAGAACAGATTAACCTCTTCTTGTGATCAATGTCAGTTAACTTTAATATAGATATAGTCGAGTTCTGGTTAAGCGATTGCTTAGTGAAAGAAACGGTGTGGATCAATCAGAAAAAAAATTTGATCAACTAGGTATCGGTATGTTGCTGCAAGGTTCTGGAATTGTCAAAATGATAAGGAAATTTGGCCCAGTCTTGGTCAAGTAAAAAGCTCTGTTTACAGAAAGATGTAAATGAGACTTCACAAACATTTGGCATAATAATCGGAGTTCATTTTTTAAAGTTTTTACTTGTCATATTTAGAATATGAAGGCATTTGCTTTTCAGGGAACATAATTTTTCTGATGTTCATCCACACTTGCAAAGTAACAATAATAATGCTCACAAATGTAATATCACATTCCAGAACGTTGTTAAAAAAAGTTTGGTGTAATGAAGGCTTCAGGCCCGGTCAAACAGCGCTATGATTAGTCATCATATAAAACTAGGTGCAAAAATGTGGGTTTTAAGATCATGAACATCGTAAGAAAGTGACGCGAGGATACGACAGTCAGTAGCGAGGCACACATAAACAAATATATGGGACTACACAGATATTTTGCGTGACAGTTTGGTCCATATTTTAGCTATTTGTTTCTATAGTTTGGAATATGAAATCCTTTGAAAAATAATTCTTGCTTCTGAGAGGTTAAAAACAAAATCCCCAACCTGTACCATTTAGTCGAACTCGACATTCTTCTTAAAATTGAATTTTCAAATGGATGTGTTATGTCATGTTTTCAGAAGCGTCTTATGCTTACGAATGCAAGAAGAAGATTATCCCTGTGAAGGTGAGTAATGACTTCAAAGCTTCTGGTTGGCTAGGCGGTATCACGGCAGGAAAGATCTACTACATCGTTCAGCAAGCTGAACTTGTCTCCGAGGTACTCACCAGCATCATCGAAAAAGAATTCGCAGTGCAGAAAGAAACGGTCCAGAACGTGAACGCTACTCCCCCGGCCGGTATGTTACTCACGCTGTAATGAGAGAGATAGAGAGAGAGAGAGTGAAATATATATATATATATATATATATATATATATATATATATATATATATTGTACCTTTCTCGCAAGCCTTAATGTAATTAGTTCATTTCCTATGTTTTTTTTCCTTGAATACGTGAGACGTAGCTACTCTGTTGGAATTTTGTTTATCATTTTTTCCTATTTTTTTTCATAATTAACCCAACTTTTTTCTCCCGACATACTTTGTAATGCTTCTTTACTACCATCACTATATGACATAGCATATAGCACAATATGAATAAGCATTAACATTGTTAGACGTTTACCTGTATCCTTATAAATATATACAATATTATTATTTATGAATGTTTTCTAATTATGTATAACCATTGTAAAACTATTTATAATACTTATAATTGTAATATTATTAAATATAATGTATTTTGTTTACATGAAGTACAAACTCACCCGGCTGGAAAAATCAAGGCGAGATATTAAACTTGATCAGCTTTGCAGATTAGTCATACGCAATTGATGTTACAACCAATGGTTATTACGCTCAGATTTTGTAATATTTTGTTATAAATAAATGTTATATAATATATATATTTTAATGAGTTTAGTTTCGTGTACTTGTGCTTTATTTTCCTTGAAAGGTCCTTCGTCCCCAGAGCTAGAAGTACCTCCAGTCAAATCTCAAGTACTCGGATGGGATTCCAAGAAGGTCCAGGATTGGCTGGCAGCTAACAACGTGACAACACGTAACAAAGCTTTGAAAACTCTCAATGGAACCCAATTACTGCAACTGAAGAAACAACTGGTCACAGTCCCACAAACTTTCTATCAGTCAATGAAAGATGATCTTAAGGTCCCATATACTGATGTCCTATCACTTGCTGCTGCTCTTGAAAATCTAGATTGAGTCGGAATCATAATAATGATGGTAATGATGATGATAATGATGACGTTTACACTTTACATACCACGAAAATAATCTCCCTGAGCATAATTGCAATTTTATTGTACTTCCAGAGCAAAGTTAATATAAAGGAGTGATAAAAGAACTGCTGAAGAGTTAATCAAGACTGGAAATTAATAATTTGTCAAATCGCGTATGCTGGCCTAAGAAGTCGTTCCGTTTTGGGTGCCCATTATTTTTGTACAAACATACGCTAATGGAAAACGATAATTCGGGAAAAAAAGAAGAAAAAAGCTAATCAGATTGACGAATGTATCTGCCATTTAGTACACATTGGAGGAGAGGGAGATAGAAAGAAATAAAGAGACACAAAAGGAAAGAAAGAGACGGAGAGAAAGAAAGAGAGACAGAGAGAGGAGAGAAAGAGACAGGGTGAAAGGAAGATATATATATATATATATATAAAGAGAGAGAGAGAGAGAGAGAGAGAGAGAGAAAGAGTGTGTTTGAGAGAGAGAGAGAGACATAGAGAGAGAGAGAGAGGTGGAGAGAGAGAGACAAAGAGAGACAGATACACATTGCAATGGCAATGCTAATTACTCTTTAGCATTCCTGAGAGGGAAATGTTTTTGACAATCACTCGGAAGAGCAGGGTACATTCTCATTACTTTTGCTAATATAACAAATGTTTATTTTTTGTTCGTGATCTAAAACTTCGTACATTTTGCGATGTAAAAACGTCTTTGTCATATCCGTGAATTTGCATAATATAAAGTCACGGCAATTTTAAGATAAAGTTGGGTTCTGCTATTGTGATGTTATGGTTAAAGAAATTTTGGAAGCACAGTAGTATAGCTATAGTAAAGCTACAGTTTAATAACCAAATTACTCATATACCCCATTTTGTGTGTTTCGTAACTTACGAATGAAAAGTGGACTTGTCGAATTTAGGTCTTTTGTTAAATATTATATCTGTTTTAATTGCCATTATACAACCATGTATTCTATGTTCTCATGAAACGTTTGTTAATGTATTATTGTTTAAAAAATGTAAATATCATAGAGAATGTTACAAATCCTTACGCGCTATACAAGCACTTTCCATTAATATTATTATTATTATGTTTCAGCTTTATTAAAGCTTATCTGCCATAGTTTACAGGAGGGATTCGACCGCTCTGCAAGGTCACTGGACAGGTGGTTATCTCATCAACTCAGCTCTCAGTTAACATAAGAAAAAGAGGATCATGGGGGACCAATGGTCACCGATTAGGCATTGATTGTTATATAGAGGGCGCAAGTAGCTACCAGTAGTGCAGTGGGCCTTTTAGTCACGTTCTGAAGAAACATGAAATTGGATGGACAAATAAAGTTTCACCTAAAACAATAAAAAAATTAAAGGAATATAACGTAATCATTTGAAGTGTCAAAAATTGAAGTACTGAAATACAGACCTGTGTGATTTTCACCATAAACATGATATATGTGCATGTACACGTTTTCAATTTGTCTCGTTCTAATCATGGAGTTAACTCCATGTTCTGATATTCTTTTACTAGTGCAGAACGCTGGAAATGAAATATACCTGCAAAATTAAGGTATTCTTGATCTATTCAACGTCAACCTAACGGTTAACAACATGTATTGGATATTGTAAAAGTCAAAAGTGAAGAGTTTGGTTTAAGCATGAATGTCAAGAAAACTAAGTCACTGATTTTTAGTAGAACAGAGAATAAGCCTAGAATATGTTTGAAACTCGATGGACATATCATTGAGCAAGTCAGTAATTACATCTACTTAGGACTAAATATCACAGATGATGCCAGATGCAAAGCAGAAATACAAAGAATAATATAATTTGCTCGGAATACATTTCTGGCAATGAAAGGATTATTCACAAATAGAAAGGTGAAATTTGCGCTTAGGTTGAGACTAGTAAACTGTTATGTATGGTCTGTTCTATTGTATGGAGCAGAAACATGGATAATAAACAAGGCCATGGGAAATAGAATAACATCTTTTGAAATGTGGATCTACAGAAGAATGATAAAAATATCCTGGAAACGAATGAAAACAAACAAAGAGATATTGCACATGGCAGGGAGTAAACAAATTGTACTATTAGGATAAGTTATGGAAAGAAAAATCAAATACTTTGGTCATGTTAAAAGGCCCCAAAGCCTCTTAAAGGATGTATTGAAAGGAAGAGTGGAAGGAAGTAGACCTAGATGGAGACCCAGAATCAACTGGGAATAGAATGTCAAGAACTAGAGTGGACTAAAACTGCAAGAGTGCACCAGAATGGCAGAAGATAGAGCGAAATGGAGAGATGTTGCAATCAACCTCCGAACTGGGTGAAGATACTTAAATAGATAGAACGGTTAAAAGCCTTCTCAGGTTCAGGTATAGCACACCATACCTACATGCACAAGTGTAGTTCTGTATTTACGTTTAAGAGTTGTCACTTATTTCCTGAATTAAGTTATGTTACATTAATATATAAATACAGTCTGAGTCCAAAAAAAAAATTACACTTAGAAATTCGCTAATTATTTTAAATATATTGATGAACAGTAAATTATCATACATCTTATGCAATAGTGTTTTATGTCAATTCATTTGGTATCATTTTTGTGTGGAATGTGGTCACGCTTGGACGAACAGGAGACACTGTTTAAGAGAGTGCAAAAATCGAAGGATGGTGAACCTGAATATAAACAGAAGCCAAAAATTGTTTCCATTGTTCACTTCAGTTATATGTTTGTCTGATTTTTCTCGTATTTGATTTAAGCGAGGAATGTTTTGTATCAAAGCGGAACGAAGTATTACCCAGATATGGACATGTTTACACTGTAAATAGTATCCATTGTATTTTTTTCTCTAAAGAATTTATTCGACATAAACATGTTTTGAGCTTCTAAGCACCCACGTTCCTCAGGTTACAATCAGTGATCATAACATGATCTTTTTTTTTGGGGGGGGGGGGGGCTAAAACCTACCAACATGAACACGATTACAAAATATTTCAATCGAGGTACGTTTCCTTTCAGAAATTTTCTTTCAAATATGGTTTTCTTTTTTTGTTACCCTTGTTACGAGCCCAGCAGTATGAACTTTCTTTTTCACCTACGATACTTTTGACATGATATTACGAGTGTGTCAGTCCGTATACCGTGGAATGACCAACTGGGTTTGCTGTGGGCTGTTGTGGTCGAGTGGATACGTCGCCGGACTGCCGATCGCAAGGTCCGCGGTTCGAGTCCCGTCGCCGCACTAATGTCTTTTGACAAGACATTGATTTACATTTGCCACACTCCACCCAGGTGAAGTAAATGGGTAACTGGTAGGAATGTATTCCGTGAAAAATGCTAGAGCGCCGTATGGCAGCCGTGCTAAAGCCAGGGTAATAATCGGGTCAAATCTGACTGACATGAGTGCTATACAACAACCCACTATTATTATTATTATTATTATTACACGTCAACACGGCCAACCAGACATAAGACCTACTTTAAAAGCAAAATCAGCAATTCAACCTGCTGCTACGAGACAGAAAAAGTAATAGCCCACGATGTCACTGACAGACTGAAATATGATAATGAATCTTCCGTTTTTGAAAAGAATGTCAAAAGGACGGATTTCGCTGATTGTTTGCGTGGTGCGTTTAGAACCGACTCACTGAGCGAGAGATATTTTTGTTTTGTTTGGTTGGTTAGCTGTATTTGTATGTATTTTTCTCTTGTTTGGTTTTTGAACGACATGATCGAAGTGACTCGCAAATTAGGTACATGCTCAATGCCACGTCACCAGACGCTGACATATAGACTCACGCAGCCTATATCTTTCGTTTCATACGGGCTATTCGTCATTTCTACAGGAAAATCTGATACAACGAAGCAGATTTGTGCACATAGAATCTGCATTTAATCGATTTCTAGATTATTTGCTTTGACACACTGCATGACACACTCTTATCTTGCGAAATAGACATTGTAAACGCCTTCATAAGACGTTCTAGAAGAGACTTCTCATGTCAATTGTTGCCAGTTACTCTTATTTGAACTGTGTACGATTATGTGTGGCTTCTTTTAGCTCGGCTATACTTGGATACATATTTCTGAGAAGAGGACTCAACGCTGTTCTCCACTTTCATTTCGCATTAATCAGCATCTAGGCAAACAGTAAGTATAATATATAGTTTTGACTCGTTACCTCTAAATGTTGATGATCCATACTCATCGGAATAGAGTTACATACAATATCTTGTTTAATTTGTGTGTTCATTATAACTTATATTTGTTTATATGCTTTGTGAATATGTTTTAGATTATGTTGATACAGGGCCCATTGTTCGAGCATTTTTTTAATATAACTGAAAGGGTACCCTGTCAAAATAAAATTAATCAGAAAAGGGGAAATTATGAAACAATTGTCTCAGTGTGTGTTGTGTGTATGTGCGTGTGCGCGTGTATGTGCATGCCTTTGGGTGTGCGTCTGCGTGTGTGTGTGTGTGGGTGCGCGCGCGCGTGTGTGTTATTGTCTGTCTGGCTGTCTTTGTTCAAAACACTATTTTATTCCTCACCCAGCAACTTGGCGCAAGTGAGATTTGGCAGTCTTTTAAAGATTGTCTGACGGTCAGTCATCCACGCAGAGATTCAAATGAAAATGGTACCTAAATATACTTGGAGGATAACTCTATCAACACATATCATGAAACCCATGATTAAATATTCATACTTCAAACAATTCAACTTTTAAAAAGTGGGACATTTTTTCTGACTCACTCTGTACAACATGTAAAAGGGGACAAAAGTCCACAATTTCTGCGTCTAGAAAAAACATTGATTTCATTTTTTGGGGGTCGGGCATATGACCTGTGCTCCCCAAACCAGAATCAGAAATGTTTGCAGTATGTTTATATTCGTAGTAGGATATGAGTGAAATCGTGTGGTATACTGAATTACTAAATAAAGCTTCACACGTTTACATTTATTCACTGAATT